GCAAAACAAACTATTTGCATATAATGTAGTGCAATGAGCATTTGTTCATAAAAGACTCCCAAAGTCTTGAAACAATTATACATAAATCAGAATGGAATCCATTAGGATAAATAATTTAAAGATGCCCAGAGTAGCTTATCAAGAACTGCTAGACACTCTCACCTGCATCACTGAATCATAAGCAAGCTTATGCAAAACTGTGCTCTGGATAACTGACTCTTATGGCTCCCCAGTAACAAGCTCTGATAAGGCAGATCAAACCTAAGAGATAAGCTATTGCCCAAGAAACATAGGTTGCATGAAATCTCCTTGAAAAATCTTGGGTGCCAACCTAAAACAAAAAGCAACATAAAAACAAAGTATTAGAAACTTAAAAAAAAATTTGCCTAGAGAACTTGTGTTTTTTATGAACTATATGCCCATACTAAAGCCACAAAGTGTTTATATAAGAAAATGAGAGTAGGTGTTATCCGTTAACTATAACTGGCAGACAATAATTCTACTTATATTAAGTATAAATTTTATGAAGTAAACAAAAAAGCACATTAAAATATGTTATCTGTAAAAGGAGTTTAATCTATGTAACTTCTTGCTCCCATGGGACACAGTAGGACATTACTAATAATATGGGACCGGGTGTACTAACTGAGGAACAAAGGAGCGTGGAAAGTAAATGGCAGCAAAACAGATCAGTTCCTTCCTTTTCTGGCATAATACCAATGCTAACTGCTTAGCTTCAGTCTCCTCTCGAAATAAGCCAGCCATCTTCACATTGGTAGTAAATCTCTGCTTGACTTGGATAAAGAGCAGAATGATGTTTTTAGATCTCTCCACAGTTGAAACAATGTTGTTCTGAATATAAGATACACTGTGGCCAAGCAAAATTTGTTCTGGAACTAAATAAAAACAAACAGGCTTTTTGTTAAATGGATTCTAAAGTCCCCAATGGCAAGGACTTTCAGAGGCATCTAAAGACATCATTTCACCTGGATGGGGAAGTTCCATTAAAAATAGGTCCATGGGCTGAGCACGATAGCTCAGGCCTGTAATCCTAGCATTTTGGTAGGCTGAGGCAGGAGGATTGCTTGAGGCCAGGAGTTCAAGACCATCCTGAGCAAGAGTGAGACCCTGTCTCTATAAAAAATAGAAAAACTGGCTGGACATAGTGGCATCCGCCTGTAGCCCCAGCTATTAGGGAGGCTGAGGCAGGAGAATTGCTTGAGCCCATGAGTTTGAGGCTGCAGTGAACTATTATGACACCACTGTACTCCAGCCTGGGTGACAGAACAAAATCCTACCTTAAAAACAAAAACAAAGCGAAACACAAACACAAAAACAAAAGCAAAAATCCAGGTCAATAGATTGGGTTTCTGATTGCCCAAAGTCCTTCAGAAGTTTGGGGCCTGGCATGCCAAAGAAGCAGACTCTTCAGGGATCACTGAAGGTTGTCCCAGGCCTCATCACTGACTATCGATAAAGTTGAGAAGAAAGATTTCTAATAACAAAGTAATACTCACAGTTAATCCAACTCCAATGAAAATACATATCATTCCAATGGTAATATATGCACAGCAGCGTCTTCGCGGAAGTGCACTACCCACTGAGGAGCTGCAGATTCATGAAAGCAAAAGAGAACATTAAGTATTTACATAAAGAGTCTCCGTTTCATCTTTGTGAATTCTTATCCATGAATTTAATAACATTATGTTATATACTTTTATTCATTCCTTCAACTTTATAGATAAGAACATGCATAAAAATGTCATTTTAATGAATGACAAAATCATAAATGGTGAATTTATGATATTATTGTGGCTTTACACGAAGTTCAAGCCTTGTTCATTGATAATATCCACAAAAATCTCTTGTGGTCCCCTAATAATCTTCCAACATAAAAATCTATTTCCAAAAAATCTATTCTAGAATGGAAAATCAGGGCTATCTTACAAATAGCATTCGATTTTTTTCACAGTTATAACAATATGTGTTTAGGGTGGAAAATTTGGAAAATAGAGTAAAGAATAAAAAGGAAAAAGAAAATTACCTATAATCCCACTACCATAAAATAGTCACTCAACATTTTGGCATATTTTCCTCCAGCCATTTTTTATAACTTACCAATGTATAGCATGAATATTCCTATGTCATAAAGTATTCTCAAACTGAAATTCCAATGGATGAATGTAACATAATTAAGCAATTCTCTACTATTGTACACTTAAAATGTTTTCATCATTATAAATAATGCCAGAAAAACATCATTTAAAAGCATTGTGCTTATTTTTTATCATTTTCTTAAGGCTTTCTTTTTTAGAATTAGGATTACAAAGTTAATCAGGTTAAACTTTTTTAAATCTTTTAATACATACTGCCAAAAAGCCTCTGGGAAATTCATAAAAACATATATTGCTACCATCCTTCTCAACTGAAATTCCGAATCCAATAGTATTTAGCTGTCTCCACTTCTAATTTTGTTAATTTTCAAAATGATACAAGTATAGCAGAGATCAAACAGCCAAATTAGCACTTTCTTCTCTGTCTAAATATACATGTATTTATTAACACATACCATGTGCCAGGCACTGTGTTAGTGAATGACATAATGAAGTATCTGATTCACCTTTGTGTGGCCAGTGTCAATATCATGTCTAACACAGTATTCTCTTAAGGAATGGCTGCTGAATAAGTAAAATACAGGCATAATTTAGAAATGTGCTATTCCAAAGAGGTTAGTTGTGCATAAAAATTATATCCTTTAATTCTCAAATATTTTTAAAAATTGATGAAATATGCTATGAAAATACATCATAAAGTTTTATGAGTGCTTGAACCTAAACATAAAAATCTGGATAACCTGGGGCCATCATTAATGACTGTACCGTACGGCTTGCTATCTGGAATTACTAGGGCATGTAGGATTCATTGCCTTTATGTTACATTTAGCCTTAGACTATTTTTGGCTTTAATTCCTATACATCCATTTGGTGGATTTTCCTGCCGTAGACCTCACAGCTGGCTGTTGTTTCTATTATTACCTGTGTATCTGCCTCTGCTAGTCTCTAATCTACCATGCATTAGAAGTCAACTAAACTTATTAGAATCACATACTGAATAAATCAAAGATTCTAAGTGAATATTAGAGCAGTTTTTCTGTGAACCAAGAGAATACACTTCAGAATATTAATTTCAATGCATGAATTCTGCTTAGAAATTCCACGCCCTTTTTTAAGCACTCAACTTAAACAGTCACCACTTCTGAAAAGTCTTCCCAGGAAAGAATTAACTTACCGCTACACTACAACTCAAGTGCCATCTCATCATAGGGATAAGGCAATGATCAACAAGCACCTACTGCATTGAATAATAAAATTTCTTCCATGTTTAATACATATGTAATGTCTATATGTAACATATAGTATAGTTTTGCATGTGTTAAAGCTTTATATGTGTTTGTGTTAACTGTATGCTTCTGTGACTTGCCCTTTTTATTTGCATAATACTCTACATGAACCTTCCATAATGATATGTGAAGATCTAGTTCATTCATTTTCACAATTATCTTTCACAGATTTGAAAATTCTTAGAGATTATCTCTTCAAAATGCACCTATCCCATTCTCTATTTTTTTCTTTCTAGATCAGATATATATTAGACACCCTAGAATATATGTTCTCTTAATCTTACTTTCATCTTTGTCACTCTATGCTGGATTCTGGCTAGTTTGCTTACCTCTATCTTCCAATCCACAACTTTAGTCTTCAGCTTTACCTCATCTGCTCTTTAACCTGTCTACTGCAGTTTAATTTCTATAACATTTAGTTTCTAGAAGTTCTATTGTTTCTTTTTAAATATATCTAGTTTTTTAAAATATTTGAGACAATTATAGATCCACAAGCAGTTGTAATAAATAATACAGAGAAATTTCATGTACCTTCTATTCAATTTCCCTAATGGTAACATCTTGCAAAACTAAAATACAATATTATTAATAGGATATTAATGTTCATACAATCCACCAATATTCAGATTTCTCATTTTACTTACATTCATGTGTATATGTATGTTTTTAATTTTATACAATTTTATCACGTGTAGGTTCATGCATCCCTCACCATAGTCAAGATACAGAACAGTCTATCGCTGTAAGGATCCTTTTATAACCACACCCTCCTTTCTGCCCCCCCTACACTTTGTGCCCACTACACCACCATTACCTGCTGCCATTTCAAAAATTTTATCATTCAAAAAATGTTACATAAATGAAATCTTATGGTCGGTAACTTTGTGTGACTGGCTTTTTTCACTCAGCACAAATTCAATCCATCCAAGCTGTTGCATATGTCAAACTTGCTACAAACACTCATGTACAGGCTTTTGTGAATATTGTGAGTACTTGGTCATTTTTTAACGGTCTCTTATTTGGATTCTCTTATTTTTATTTTTTAAAATATCATAGACATGGTTATAATGTATTCTGTATCAAATAATTGTAAATCTGAAATCTTTAGGAATCTAATTTTGTTGTTTTTTATCAATGCTGATTATGCTTATGGTATCTTGTTTTCTAATATGGTTAGAAATTTTTGTGGAAAACTTATTTTGGCAGATCTTAATATAAGAAATCCTGCTGTGCATAGGTTAGGGGCCCCTTCATCCACAGAGAATTTTGATTTGCTTTTTCCAGGTTGCCTAGAGTGATACCAACCTAAACCACTTTAAATAGATTTCTGGGACTAGGTTTTTCTAGATCTTATAAACGACATAAAATATAAATCTAAATTCACTGTTCTTATAAATTCACTTTGTAATCTTCCTTTTCTGGTGGATTTTTTTTTCCTGACCTACTCTTTTCTTGGAGAATAGTACTTTAAGGACTTTGTTGGAAGGGAGTAGTATTCCACCAACCCCTCCACCTTCTGTGAGGCCAACGCTTTCCCTCTCATTCTTTACCTGAACACTAAAACCCATGGTTCTAGGTTCCTAGTATTTGCAAATATCCTCAGTATATCCCTGGTTGTCATTTCATTTTCATTTTTGGTACCTAGCGATTTTCTTAACTTTCATATGAGCTGGGATATGCATTAACAATGATGTGAAAGCCAAAGGCATATACAAAGATGTTGACAGTGAATCTCCAAGAGGAAAAGATCATTCAATTGTTCCCAAACATCTAACTATTCACTCTTCAAATTATCAACCTTCCCTTTACAAAAATACTCCATGAAATACTAGGATTATGGTGGACACCTGGAAAACACTAATAGCTAGTTCTATACAAATTCATAAGGGTGCCAAGGTGCCAAGCAATGTTCTTGACATTATAATTTTCAGAGGAGTTAGCCAAGAAAGGTTTTATTAGGTGGGGCTTAAAGGATAGAGTAAGATGTGAACAGATGAGGGAGTAAGTCATTTTAGCTGATAACAATAGCATTGTTCAGGTATGAAAAAGAATTGTTCAATGAACAAGCAGCGAAATAAACTTCCTGTCAGAGAAAGTTTCTGCAGATGAGTAGTAGAAGCAAGGGATGTTTTAGCTAATTTAATTTTTGAGGTTAAATAGGTATTTTCCAGGTAGATGGGGATGAAGAAGGGACTAGCCAGGCCATTTTAGGCCTAGCAGGATAAGATTCAGGGACAGAAGCAAGAAACTGTATAATATGTTTATGGAAGTGGAAGAATTTGTTGAGGCTGGGAGATAGGGGGTTGTGTGTAGAGGTGAAAGAAAACAAAGACACTACCAGAAAAGTTAGGCAAAGATTTAAAACTGGAGGGCTGAATGTACTTTGCCTATAGTTTGATTTTAGATTTTAGGCAGTGGGCCTATAGTAAACCACATGGTACATTTATGGCAAGCAAATTCTTTTGGTTTTATTCTGATTCCTTCCTCAGAATACTTTACATGCCACTAAACTGACAAACCTAAGATAACAATAGAAATAGCACCTTCTTGGGTTGTGCAATAAACAACTTGCATAACTGCATACCATGTCCATGAATTTGGGAACTACTAAAAGATCTAAAGCTAGGGAGTTTAAAATGATACACGAATTTAGGGACTATTATTCTAGTAAATGAATAAAGAACTGCAAGGTTGAAGGCCAAGAGATAAATTAGAAAACCATTGCAGTAGTCTTCAGAGGGATGCTGAAAGCATGAACTAAAGTAGGAATAGTGAGAATAAGAGCATAGAATTGAAATGTCAAGAGACAGAATAGATAGGACATCTCTGAAGACGGAAGATGATGAAAACATACACTTAGACTTCTGGCTTGGTCAGTTGGGCAGATGGGATAACACTAATAAATTATTATATACAACATATAATAACATTATCATATATAACATATAACAATAACATTATTATATAATAATAATATAATAATGTTGTATATTAATCAATATACAAGACAGATTAGTTTACAGAGTGGAGTGGGGAAGTTGGCCAGGTTGTGTTTGAAATGACCATGAGATATCAGGTTGAAGTAACTGTAGGCAGGATAGTGAATAGAGATTGTATATTTATATCTGAAGCTCCAAAGAAAGATCTGGGGTGATTTAATGGCATATAAATAACATAGGAACATAAAAGAAAACACAGATATAATGTGATTAAGTTCCAACCCTGGCGAATAGCAATATTTAACAACTTGGAAAAGGAAATGAAGCCAACAAAGGAGTGTTCTGAGAAGTGGGAGAAACCCAAGAGAAAGTGGTATCTGGAAACCAGGAAAAGAATAAATTTTAAGGAAAAACCCTATTGTATTAGTCAGGGTGCTCCAGAGAGGGAGAACCAATAGAGATAGATAAATAGGTAGGTAGGTAGGTAGGTAGATAGATAGATAGATAGATAGATAGATAGATAGATAGATGAGAGGCAATTTATTAGGGGAATTGGCTCATGTGATTATGGAGGCCGAGAAGTCCCATGCCAGGCTGTCTGTAAACTGGAGACCCTGGGATTCAGGTAGTGTGGTTCAGTCCAAGTCCAAAAGCCTCAGAATCAGGGAAGGTGATGGTGTAATTCTCAGTCTGAGGTTGAAGGCTTGAGGACGTGGAGGACTGCTGGTATAAGTCTTGAAGTCCAAAAGCCAAAGAGAACTGGGGTTCTGCTGTCCAAGGGCAGGAGAAGAGTATCCAAACTCCAGGAGAAAAGGAGAGGAAATCACCTTTCCTCTTTCTTTCTTTCTTCCTATCCAGGCCCCCAGCCAATTGGATGGTGTGCGCCCACATCAAGGGCAGATCTTCCCCACTCAGTCCACCAACTCGCACACCAGTCTCCTCTAGAAACAGCCTCACAGGCATATCTGGAGGTCAATTTAGTGGCAAATGGAGACATAAGCCTTGGAAAGAAGAGACCTGCATTCCTCTGAGAAGAGGAAATGAGTGAGTGTAGACATAGACAAGTTTATGTGTGGGGAGTGTAAAAATAAAGGAGTTCACAGATAGCCTCAATTGTCTTGGAGGGATAGGAAGCAACTTGTGGGCTGAGACTGGGAGAGTTGGGGATACTGAGATGGAGATTTAAGAAAAACAGTAAATATCTAGAAACGGCTGTTTGGCAGAATGGAGGAGGCAGTTAATCAAGGACACAAAAAAGGAATATAGAGTAAGGGTTTAGCTAAAGTATAAAGCTATATATTTGTAAAGAGCTAATCAATACAGAATTTTTTCAGCTCTCAGTTATCTTGGTAAAGGAAAGGAGAAGCCATGGCCATATTGATCCAAGAGTGCTGACTGGAAAAGCAGATAGATAGTATGAAGACTCAGCCAATCTAGCAAACCTGAACTCTCCTTATATTTAATATGTTCAAAATGAATTTATCATCCTCAGCCAGATACATTTCTTCTAGATACCACATTCCCTGTCTTAGTAAATGGTTCTACAGCCTCTCAGAAATAAGGTCATCCTTGACCCCAGTCTCTCTCTCTTGTCCCTTCACATTCAATCCTCTCTATTCCATTTCCCTAGTAGCACATCTGTACAGGTAGCTACCTGTGAACCATCCCACCCTCTTTTTCACATAATTCCCACTCATCTTTCATTACTTAGTTCATATATCACTCCCTCCTGAAAACCCTCTCTCATACTCCCTTTCCCTACAATGGATTAGGTATTCTACACAGCAGAGCATACTGGCCATACCTCTTGCAAAGCACTAAAAACTTTATTGTAGTTGTCTATTCTCCTTCCAGTGCCCACAAGACTAAGTTCACTGAAGGCAAGATTATATCTTTTATTTCAAGTACCCCATACCAAGCACAAAACTGTTTGTTGAGTGGATGAATAATTATAAAAACTAGCACTAAGTGGCAAAATAAAAGGATAACATTTGAGAGTAACAGTCTATTGTTATTTAAAAGGGTAGGAGGTGATTCACAAAGGAACACAAGAGTAATATAAAAAAAATGATATTCAATGATAATTATCATGGATTAAATCAGTGTCTCTACTAGTCTTAGGTTCCTTATAACATTTGCATGGAAACATAGTCCAAGCTATATTTCAGAACACTAGAACTATTTAATGCATCTCTAGTCCAGGCGTGGTGATAAGCTGCCCAGCTAAAAGAAAACATTGCCTTCAGCTGCAATAGTCCCAGCTCTTGTGTGAGTAAGAAACCGTGATGGATGAGAGAAAATGCTCCATTGGTCTTTGGAATTCAGGGGCAGGCAACTTTCCCCACACATTTTGTGAAATAAGCACATGACACATTTGTCTCACAGTAATAATTTAGTAACTCCTGTGACTTAAAAATAATTTTAGAATATTTGTGCTTAAAGAAATAAAATTCAGTCTCAGAATCTTAATCCAACAGATGACCAATCATTTTGTTATAAAAAAGAAATTCAAAAAAAAAAAAAAAGAAATCCAGATAGCAATAAGGAGTATTCATGTGACAACAGTGGCTGCTCTCAAATAAGTAATGAAAGTCCCGAGTCCTCCCATGTTTAGCATGTGACTCCAGTTCTACAAACCTTCCTCTCAGAATAATGTTTAAGCTGATGTAGTCCATGTGAATTTCTATGTAAGTTGTTCCCTAAGTAGTTGAGACAAATTCTTCTTCATATTAATACATGGCCTTGTGATGTTTTAACAAATCATAGAGTATCTAGACATTCAATACTTCTTTATTATTAGCAAAAATATTGCCATTGTACTAAAATAAGCAAGTCCCTTGAGCAAAAATCTTTAACCTCTCTTAACAGTTTCTCATCTGTAAAATGAGGCTAATAATCCCTGTATTCCAGGATTGCTGTAAAGATTACAGCTAGTGTATATGCGTATATAAAGCAACTATCACTGCGCTTAGCACACAGTCTGCCAACCACAAGAAGTCTCTGCTTTTTATTTTCTATAAGTTTTTTCGATACAATTTAATGTTCTCAGTAAAAATATTGGCAACTTAATTTTGTCCATTTTTGTGAAAACACAGACAACAGACCGAAATACTCATCATTCATGTGCGTAGTCACATACGTTGTGGCAGGAGTGTGGGTATGTCCCTCAAACACATATACATTTTCCTCTTTACTTATTTAGGGCTAGCCTCTTTGTTTCTCCATGTACACACTTCTACTAGATTCAATAAATTTAAGAATTTGAATGATTAATTTCACAAATAAAAAAGAAAATATCTGTTCTTTAGAAGCTAAAATATGCATAAGGAAGTTATTCTTATAAGGCTGTTATTTAGCTGGAATGAGATCTAGCAGAGATAGAGATATTTTGTTACACATACATACTCCACTTTTCAAACACTTTTTAATTATTTTCTCCTAGAAACCATGCTTGGAATCTCTTGACTTTCAAAGTAGATAAGGTATGTATTTCATACTAAGGTCACACAAATTAAAGTATGATCCCATATTTTCAATTATAAAAATTGAATTGTCAAAACATTCAGTTTAATTTCCTTTGGTTAAGTTATAATTCACAAATATAAGTGGCAAACAGAAGAATTTTTTAATTAAAAGGATATTATCAAAATAGATGCTGTACAGGAAAGAACATAACAGGCCTGGGACTGCTATCCTTAGAAAGGCCTGCTTGTAAGGTTAGCCCTTAGCTGGCATCTGAGAACTTAGATTTTGGGAGAGTTCCCACTATTCCTTAACTTATAAGAGTGGTTTATTAAGTGTAAATTGTTTGTGTAAACAATATGGTTTATGCTAAACACCTGCTTTCCTTCTGGGAATGTGGAATTTTGGTATGTGCTAGGTAGTAGGTGACCAGCTCCAACAGAAGCCGTGGGTACTGAGTCTCTAAAGAGCTTCCCTGGTAGATAACATTTTACATATGTGGTAACAACTCATTGCAGGATACTCCAGTAGAAAAGGACGATGGAAGCTTGTCCTGGTTTCCTCCAGACTCTGCCCCACATGCATTTTCCCTTGGCTGGTTTTGCTTTGTCATACTTCTGCTGTAATAAATCATGTCTGTGACTACAACTATATACAAATTCCTATAAGTCCTTCTAGAAAATCAAGAAATCTTGGAACCTCCAACTCACATACCATAAAATGTCTTTAATCAAAATGTCTTATATTATTTCCCATTTTTACATTGCCTTATGTTATTTTCCTTAGGTTCACCATTTGAGAATAGAGAGAAAAAGACTGAATTGTTAAGACAAACAAATAATTATACAAACTTTGCTGTCAGTGCTAATTTTATTAGACAAGAGATGAAAAAGGCTAATAACCACCTAATTATGAACTCTAAAACAATTTGGATTTTCCCCTAGATTACAGCCCATTTTATAAAAATAAATTTTAGATTATTTGTGATAGATTGTAACCTCTTAGGACATTTGAAAATCCTCACCAAGTTACTGATAATTTTAGCAATTTCACTTTCTTAGAAATTGATTTCTCTTTAGAGAATGATAATCAAGGAAATGATTTTAATTTCAAAATGGAATATACCAATTAGTTTAAGGATGATTTTTAGTCTTAAAAAACATAAATATATTAAGCATGCATTCATTCCATAGCATGTCTTAAAATCAAAATCTACTTGGGTATTCTGAATTCTAAATAGTTCTCAAGTACTTAATAGTATTTCCACGATAGGGAACTTACATTTTTTTGCAGTGTGGGCATTTTGCCAGAGTGTTGAACCTCAGTTCCATCCACTGTAAAATAAATAAGAGAGGTATTGAAAAGAAAAATAACTGAAAACTATCCAATCTGATAAAATGCTTCTTTTAGTTTAAATGTCATCAGGGATCACAACAGAAGTAATCACCCTCTCATAGTTACGTGAGCTTTCCCCTCCAACACTTCCCTCCTCCTCTCTTAAAATAAAAATACAGTTTGTGATCTCCCTCGGAAACAGTTCCCATGACTTTCCCAAGGTTCTGACGCACTCTATGTTGCTTTACAATGAAAACCAAATGTAATGCCGTAATTAAGGTCATCTCTTATGGCTGTAAGTCTCAGTTCGCCTCCAGGGAATAAAAACATATTTTATGTATCTTCAAAGTCATTTTTAAATCTTGAGGGCTAGCCTTTTAAATACTTGAATATTTAGATTCATTACTAAAATGCAACTATTTATTCTACTTATGTGGGAAAGGCACAAAGTACATAAACTAAACAAATTAGATATAGGTAGAACTAAAGTCATGGAACTGCTCCTGTTCTGTTGTTGCTCACGTGACATAACAAAAACACACT